GGAAAAAGAAAAACCCACCTCATCAAGCTGGTGATCCAGCTATATTACTATCAACAACATTATGTTAGTCCTCCACCATGGAATATCCTAAAGAAAGTCATATCCTACCACCTGAAAATTCTCTTCAGCTTGAACTGGGATGGCTCTTCTTTCTTCAGATAATAGCAGGTACATCTTTTTGTTCTCAAACCATGTTTGTTTTAGTCCTTTCTAATGAGTGCGTGAGATCAAATTAAATGAATGTTCTCACTAACACAGATTTAACCTTCCCTGTACAGCTAACTGGAATCATCTCTACAAACCATCCCCCTTCCCACCCCCCACCCCCTCCTTCCTCTCTCTCTGAGGTATGACTGTATGAGCAGTAACTTACAGGTGCATGCCATTTCCTAACCCCGCACAAGTATATTCATTGCTAATCTATTGTTTCTCCACCATTCTAGATGTGCAATTTAGTGACAAATTGCTTATTATGCATTTTAGAACATCATAATGCTTTGCAAAGAGTAACTATTGAGGACATGGATGAGCACAGAACAGGCAGTTTACAAATTTTTTAACTATCTGCATCAAAATACTAACAACTGGAGCACCAAAATGAATTATATGCTTCAGAAGAGAATATACATAATCAGAAACTAAAGGGAAATCTGAAGATTCCACTAGTACAGAATGTATACTGGTAACCAGCAAAACCAGTTACAAGCTGCATGCATATGTTGGTCTACCATATAGAGAATTATGATGGAAAATGATCTTAGGTTGGCACTAAGGAACCCTCATTTTTGTGTCTTATCTGGAGGTGAATTCTTAACCTATGAATCTGGCGGGGAGCAAGAACAAAGTTTAACCATTTAAGAGTATTATGGCAGAAAAGATTAACCAAAACCAGCCTTTTATTTTATATAGGTATATATAAGAGGCCAAGGGGGAAATAACCAAAAAAGGGCTGGACCTTGGACCTATCCCTTCTTAAGGAGGGAGATAAAACCAATGGGTCAAATCTAGTCTATTCAATTTCTTCACTTTAAGGGAATAAATTTCTGGGATAGAGTTTGTAATACTAGAGAAAATGAATGATACACAAAAGAGACAGTCAGACCAAATAACCAAATTCACAATTTAAGCAAAGTCACCAATGGTAAACTCCATACAACCCAGATTTCCTAAATATTAGATTAAGCACAATTTAGAAGACAGGAACTTTATAATAATGAAGGTCAAAAAGCAATAAGGACAATAACACACATTTTGAATGTACCAAGTGAATGCCAATTGAGTCATTTCAAGAATCACCCTTTACTTCATCTGATGAATCTGAGTCACTTGCATTGTAACCTGACAAAGGGCCACCCACAGTTACAATAGATAATGGTGAGAAAATACTAAACTATTAGGAAGTGATTATGAAGATGGTAGACTTTAGAGATCAACCTGGACGCTTATCACTGACTTTCCAAACTGAAGCTCGTATCCTTGAAGCTCTTGTCATCCAAAATCTTCCCTATAGCCCCAATACACCAAACAAAATACTCAGATGAAGGCAAAATAACTAAGAATGAAGGGTACAAGAAACAGGAACAATCTAAGAAAGAAAAACCTTAATTAGTCTCTTTAATTCATCTAGAAAGCTAGGAAAAGAAAACAAATTCAGAACCAAGATTTACACAAACCAACTGTAGCTCTTTTAACATACTTCCTTCACTTGATAAATTATCTAACAGGAAATTTTATTGCTTTAATCTCTAATCTCCTATCTATTCATCTGTATTCTGTAACCAACATTGCTAAACCTAAACAGATAATAAACCCTAACTGCCAAGAGCAAGAAACCAAAACATACAAAAACACAGCATCGTCAAAAGCAAAGAAACCAAGGATTAAAAAGAAACCCATCAAGCAGAAACCTTTTGCGCGTCTCTGGGAACCCCATAGCCGCTACAATACATCTGACCGACCAAGACCTGCATGTTGACATCCCCAGCCTTGGCTTCCTTGAGCGTGTCCTTGAACCACCGCTTCACACAATCGGAGACGACCTCCGACAGAGGCAGCCTCTGATTGGTAACATCCTTCTCGCTACTGCTCTCCATCTTCTTCAACCTGTCACCACCTATTCGCAGATTCTGTGTCGTGGATTTTGGGCCTTTCGCAGTTTTGTTGAGATGCTGTGCAGTGACCTTGGCAAAATTCTGGAGCTTGGTTATGCTGTTCGACGATTTTCCCATAAAAAGGAAATCCAGAAAGTGAGAATTGAATGTATAAAACAAGAGGAAAAAGAGGGAAATTTTATTGCTTTGATAATATTGAGTTTCTTACCTTTTAGCTGTTTTTAAGTGTGTAGAGAATATGTTTTAGAGATTCGCGGGTCCTGATGGAAATTTTG